TGGCAGTGTAAACAAAAAACCCACAAACATGCACCAGTAATGTCAATTGGAACATTTGTATTCACTGATTTTCATAACTGACTTCCTTTCAGGAGGCATTTGTATTAATATATGTTTGATGTTTAGCAAATCTTCCTCTCTGTTCTTCTGATGAAATATTAAATCTGGGTTCTTTTGAAGATGTTTTAGCTGCAGCCTAGTATCTGGCATTCTTTGCAAGCATTTCCAGCCCTAAGCATAACATATAGATAATATCTGTTCTGCAGTTGCTCCAGGAAAAGAGGTAGCAAAACTCTCTTCTACTCCAGGAGAGCAGGTCCTGGCTCTTACAGGGAAATGTATTCAGCATAGACTCTCTTCTGCATCTCTCAGTTCTTCTCAAAAGATTTGAGTTATATTCTGCAAATCCACACAGTTATTCAACCCATGAGGGAATAGTTCTACTGCAAACACTAGAATTCTTTGCCTGGGTTGCATGTATAATGCAAAGATTTTTATTTAAGTTTTCATTTGATCCTGAAGATACACCAGTTTGCACCAGGAACAGAGCTAACAGAGTTTTGTTTAATTCAACTTAATTATTGAATTAAGCAACTTATTTTATTTTATTTCAGGTCACACAATTGGAGAATCCAATCCTATGGAAAGAACCAGCATATAAAGTTGGAAGGAGTTCTGCCACTGCCATGAACCGTGGGAACTATAAGAAAAGAAACAAAATTTAAAAATTAAAAAAAAAAAAAAAAAAAAAAAAAAAAGGAAGTGCTGAAAAAAAATTGGGTTGGTCCATAGAATCAGCCTTGAAGACCTGGCATCGACCCTGATGTGGAGTAAAATCCACTGAGCAGAATGTCAGAAGATCAGCCTGGAAAGAATAATCATGACTTTTGTCAGAAGCAAATTTCATTGGAAATGACATTCTAGCAAAGGGGTGAGTGGATTTAGATCATGCCTCTTTCCCAAACTTTCCAAATTAGTAACCATAGGGATTTCATTTATTTCCTTGTTGTTTTGCATTGCTGACAATTTGCACTTAATTTTCTGAATAAATCTATAGCTTGACCAGAGTCCCATCTTTAGCTTATTATAGAAAGAGGGCTGTGTGACTCAAAAGAGAAAATGAAGTTGAAAAGACAGACCAAAGAGACTGCCCTGCACACACAAACATTTTCCACTCCTGAACAGCAGCTCTCAATCCTGGTGGCCTGGCTTCAGCTATGTCAAATATTAAATCACACTTGTTAGTTTACTGACTGGAGATTTGTCTCCTTAGCATCTTTCTCCCCCTTTTCTTTCTTCTTTTTTTTTTTTTTTTTAATTGTTGTTACTCTGCTTTGCCTGAAAGCTGCAGCATCTCACTGTTTATTATTCCCACTTCAGTCAAACTCTGTCCAAAATTAACACGTTGCGTTCTGCAGCTGCTTTCCAGATCCAGTTATGCCAAAATGCAAGGAAATGTAAAATAAACACATGGAAGCTCTTTCAATTAGCACAGAATTTGATCCTGCAAAAGAAATTAAGCAGATAGGCAGTTTTACCCTGATGAGTAAGCCCAACCGAACATTTATGAAGTTAATCATCTGTTTAAAGTGAGTGCAGGATCAGGTCCGAGGCGAAAATGAAAAAGCTGCAGTAACAAGTGTATTTATGTTCTGTATTCCTTCTGGACTTTTAGTAAGATCAAAGAGCTCTCTGAAAGGCAGAAAAGCAAATAGGTTGCAGATGAACGAACAAAAAAAGTTTCTAAGCAATTACTGATTTAAAGCATGATTTTTCTTTAAAACTGCTAGTTCATGGCTGGTACAAACAAATAACTGCATAAAACTCAACTTTCCCTCCTAATTCTTCAAAATTCGTAATAAAAATGAATCAGTAATTGAAAGTCAATGGGAGTTAGGCACCTTTTGTGCCTTTGAAAATCTCCCCCAAAGCCTTTTCATCTATGCCTTGCTGTTCTCTGCCTGGTTTTTATGAGGGTTTATTAAGAAGTAGCCATTTGAGACTCCAAACACAAAGCAAAAAAAGAAAAAAAAAAAGGAAAAGAAAAGGCAAAAGTCAATAAAACCAGAAAACTAGTTGGTCTGATCAGTGTCAAGTTACATTGTTTTCAACTTGAATTAACTGTAGCCATCAATAAAACTATAGAAATGGGGAAGTTGCTGTTATAAATTAATGATTATTTGCCATGAGCTTTAACAGGACTGTGTGTGCCACATTTTATTGTGATGGTTTATTCTTATTTGGTACAACAGTAATTGGGTCTTAAACATGATAAAGCATCCTAAAGGCTGCATTGGAAGCAGAGCTGTCTGCAGTAGGTTTTTAACTCTAGTTAAATAAGGTTAATCAAAGCTAATGAATCTGTTTTATACATTGCCACAAGTATATAAAAAAAAATGTATCACCAGGTGAAGGAGCTAAAATATGAATTGCTCAAATGTGAACATACATTTTCAGTATGGTAATTCTGCCAGGCCCTTGTTATATATTGGGTATCTTGATAGTTCACTGTGCTTCTACATTTGCCACTGGAAGAGGTGGGGAGAGGGCAGACACTTGCACAGAAATAGGGAGAACTGTCCTGGAGCTTCATTGTTAGAATTGCAAGATTGCTACCATCCCACCCTGTCAAGAAGCTAAGGCAGAAAAGTCTGGCCTTTAGTGGTGAGGAATTTTCCCGGGTGCCCTCCATGCCCTCTTTGCCGAGGTGAAAATGCTGCTGCTTGAACTTTGAAGCCAATAGGAAAAGTGACACAACCCAAACCCAACCCTTGTTTCTCCTGAGGCTCCTTGGCAGAAATAGAACAGGAGAGAAGCTCTGAGCACAGACACTCAGAGCCTGGGGCATAAAGTGGTGGAAGCAGGATGCATTTACCCTGCCTCTGGAATCCTGCAACCTCTGCAGCTGCAATCCATGCTTCTTTAGTTTTGTGCTTTTTTTTTTTTTTTTTTGCTTTTTTTTTTTTTTTATCCTTTGGATGAATTTTCACCTCAGACTGGCACAAATGATCAGAGCTGTTCAGCAAGGTCAGGTGTGCTGGGTGTCTAGTGAAGGCCAACGAAAAGGAAAAATACCAAAACAAAATTAAATTTAAAAAAAGGCAGATTCCTCCATTCCCACTGCTCCTGACCAGTATCTTCCCAGTTTAAGGATCTGTGTGTGGGGGAGAAGTTAGAAAAGGGCGGCTGATATAAAGGAAGGCAGAGCCTGCTGGAAACACTGAGGGAGGGGAGGCCCAAGGACTAATTGCAGCCTTGATGAGGGAGAGGTGCAGCACAGGTTTTGGCACAACACCCCTCCAACCAGCTCCCCTCACTCTGACAAGCTACAGCACCTCATCTCCCCCATGTTTGATTTCAAGGGAGAAAAAAAACAAACAGGGAGGAAAAAAACCCAAAACTAGTTGCAAAATTCAGGGCCTGTTAGACTTCAGCTAATTAGAAAAAATGGGTTTCTTCCCCCACCCCGTCCTACTCCCCCCTCTTCCCTTTCTTTCTTCAGCACCTTTTCTTTCAAACATTTAGTCTCAGGAGGGGGAATCCAGCCTCTTGGCTGGGCTGTTTTCAAAACACGCCTTTGAATGCTTCTCCCTAATTCACCTCTTTTGTTTTTCCGCTTTTGTGTTTGCCAGTTTGACCATATAACGTTATACATCTGGTGTATAGCTTGTTGGGGGCTTTCTTTCTCCCAGGGATCCTATGCATTCCCTATAGGACCCTCCTGGGCTTCCATTCGAGCTATCGTGTAACATAAAGGGGGCTAAAGCAGGGCCAAGGGGATGAAAGCGGGGAGGAGGGGAGCGAGGGGGGCACGGCCACTGAAGAGTGCGCCCGACACACACGCACACACACAAAATAAAATAAGGTGGGGGCCAGGGCTGGGGTGGGGAGAGGAATAAAAAAAAGGAGCTGAAAAGAATTCTTTTGCTCTTTCCTTTTCTTCTCGCGCTGTTTCGGCCGGACCCTGCGTCAGGCAGGCACTGGCCCTCTGTGGGAAAGTGAGGCGGCCACAGAATAGATAACTCATTTGAATTCCAGCGACATATTCGTAAATAAAGCAAAAGTGGCGAAGGGGAGAGGGGCTGGAGCCGGGGGCTGGAGGGAGGGAGGGACGGGGAGCCAGAGGCTGTGGCTGGAGAGATGCAAAGCTGCCCCAGCACCCATGGCTGGGACCCCTCTCCCATCCTCTCTCATCCCCTGAGCCCAAGATCGGCAGTCCTGGCTCAAGCCTGGCCTTTCCCCATCCCATCTCTTTCTGCTGAGACAACAAGAGTTGGCTGAGCAAGTTGGATTCTTGCTGGTTTTGGCGACATCCTCTACACAGCCGCTGCAGCTGCTCGTGTTTATTGTTGTGGCTGATGCTCCTCATGGAGATGGTCATGGTGGGGTGCAGGAGCATGTCCAGCCACCCTCCCCACTGCACCAGCCCGTCCCCTCCCCTGAAGGGGTGGCAGAAGGGGGGCATGGCACACCTCCAGGGCCCCCAGATCGTCACCTCAGGAGCTCAACTGTTATCCCTGTGCCCATTTTAGAGATGGGGAAACTGGGGACTGAGTGAGGGTAAATAGCTCAGCCAAAGTCCCACCCCGGAGATGCTGTGTTAAGCTCCTAGTGACAGGCAGGGCTTCCTCCCAGCAAGCTGTCCATCTCTTCTTAAAAAAAAAAAAAACAAAACACTTTTGGTCCAAAGGAACTTAAAATCTGGGGTACAGCTCAGCTTTCCTCTGTGCCCTCTTTAAACACATGCCTTTGATCCTGGTGGAAAGTGGGGTATTTTGTGTTCAAATCTGAAGTGCATGCAGTCCTTACACACTTTTTATTTATTATATATATATATCAGATGGTTGCGATTTATAGGGCATTTTAGAATTCAATTGCATTCATAATTGCCTATAATAAATTTATAGGCAGCTGGACAGGTGCAACCAGTCATACTGTAAACAATAATTGTATATATAAATATATACATGCACACTTGTAAATATGCATGTGTGCACATACATACATATATAAAGGTAAATTATGGATCAAGCATGTTTTTCTCATCTCATGCACAATGGGTATTGTGACTTGTGCAAGAAGTTTCAGGTGGCATTTATTTTCCTTTGCATTGAACATGCATACACAGGACAGAAGCATATGTTCAATTCCACATCCACACTGAGATTCCTCCAAAATATCTTAATTAGGTAATCAAGAATAAAAGTTCTAGATATGCAATTAAAATCAAAGTATTTTCCATTTTTTTTTCTTTTTTTGCCAGTTTATTTTTTCCCTCTCTTCTTTTAAAATGATTTTAGACAATGAAAAAGTCACCGTGACATAAAGCATCTGTAAACTGCACAGAGACTGCATAGGTTACAGAAATTACAGTGGGGACAGCTTTGTGCCAAAATGAAGTCTGCTTCTGTCACATCACTGTGTGAAACCACAACACTCCAAAATGGAAATTAGCAGAGATTTACAGAGATTCCCCTAAGCCAGCATCATTGATGTTCGTAAGGGTAGGATTTGGCCCCGAGTGAAAAATCTGATTTATTGAGTCGTTGTGACTGAGCAACTTGCAAGCAACTGGAAAATGTTTCCCTTTAGGGACCACAAACCTGGGCCTCCTTCCTCCTTCCACCTCTGCATTGACTACAGTCTCAAAGACCTTTTTCCCTTCCCTAAAATTTTGTGAGCGTGCCAGACTAAAGACAGCCCATCCAGACAAGCCTCTGGCAGCCTCAGGAGAGGGCTCTCATCCCGCCTGCCTGGGCAGGGGCAGCAGCTCCTCTCGGGGGGCCCGGGGCTCCCCTCGGCAGGAGATCCACAACCTCCACCACCTCCAAACATTTGCAGCTCTCGGGAGCGGCGGCAGCAGGTGAGAACATGGTGGCTGCTTAGAAAAATAGCACTTTGCCAATTGAACAACACCCTTTAAAATTTCAGCTATTAACAAGTCTTTACAGAAACAGGAACTGCCAGTAACAAACTTGATTTCTAATGTCCCCTAGGTAATAATAACTCTCTAATTTGACTGTGTCCCAGCTGGCCTTGTACTGCAGTTATTGCTTGAAGGGGTTGGAAGGGATTTTTTTTGTGCTGCTGCCTTTTTTCTTATTAGTATTTTTTCTTTTTCTTTTCTTTTTTTTTTTTTATTTTTAGTTTTTTATTTTTAAGTTGTGTTTTGTTTTCCAGCAAAGCAATCTCTTTTAAAAAGCAAATTGAAGGGAAGGTGGGGAGAGGGGGAATGGAGGGCGGGGGGGAGGCGGGGGGACACACATGCGGAAATTTAATGTGAGAGCTGCTCCTCAGAATGAAGATGTTGGGTTTGGCATAAAGATTGCAATCAGCTGGTTGCTTTGACACTGCTCGAGCCTTTCAGTGACTAAGACAAGCCTGAAGGATTAGGATGTCAAGCCTGTCCTGTCATCTTCAGGGAGCGGGGGAATGGAAGGAGTTGCCTTTTTTGGCTACGTCTTCATGAGGCCCAGAGGACAGAAACCTTGCTGGTTAATTAAGGCCAACCTCAGCCCGTCACTGATCAACAAACTCCTGCTTTTTGAGAAAAGTGGTGCAGCGGGGAGGAATTTATCTCCAGAGCCTTCCCCTGCAGCCCCCACGCCAACCCAAAGGATGGCTGCACATTTTGGGAAAGGCAGTGGCCTCCTCCCAGGCAGCTGTCAGACAAAGCAAAAGGACCTGGAATAAGCTGACTTAATCAAGCCATATTTAGCAGGCTAAAGGTAACACCAGGCATGCATTTCTCCAGCATTGTTGGGGCTGACGGGAAATATCGATGCTTATCAAGCAACAGTTCTGCTGGTAAAAAGATGTGGCTTTTGTGGGTGTCTTTGCTTCTCTTATTGTGTTCCCAATTGCCAGGTAAAGCCTAATCAGACAGTGACAACAGGATCCCAGTGCTTTGTTTGTGTTTTCGAGATGCATCAAGAGTTTGAAAATTAACTGCTGTACCACCTTCTGCAAATAATGTTGATCAGGCTTATTTGTATGAAAAAAAAAAAAAAAAAAAATAAAGCCAGTCACTCCTGCTGCAAACTGGCTATAAGGAAATCCAAGAGTAGAGCCTGCAACCCTTGCTCACAGACAACCAATGTCCATGTGATGTGTCCACACTGAATCATTTTCATTTCCCAAACGAGTGACCTTTGTCAGGAGGATATAACACAATGTCCCAGAGAACAGGCTCGTATGCAAAAAAGCTGTTCCTGAGTGGGAATGCAAATACTGGGACAAGAGTGAACTTTACATAAACACCGAGAGCAAAACTTTGCTGGTCTGAACAGCCATGAAAAAGAAGGCAGTGGTAGAAAATGAGATTCACTGGAGTAATTTGTATGAATATTTAGTGAGTCTTCCCAGATACAGATTTCTTCCAGCTTCCTTCATAGTAAAATTAATATCTAAATAATCCAGTGCTGCCAGTTCCTAAAATAACTCCTGGGGTCCCAGCCCCTGGAATCATGTGATTATGTGGGAAATTAGCTTTCATTTATTAAAAAAATATTTTAAAAATCTCTAAATCTTATAAATTCATGGAAAAGATGGGAAGATGGTTTCCAAGGGTTCAAAATGCAAAATGTAGATTAAAAGAAATTCAGTGCCTCCAGCCTCATAAAAATAATGTAATATTCAAAACTTTACTACTCAAGTGTTACAACACAGCTCAGAAGGTGGCATCATACAACATATGGAAACTTTTCCATCTTATTTATTCTAAGGCTTTAATTTGACAGCAGAAAGGCCACTGTAGTGTGTCTCACCTTTGATTGTACTGGAGAAAAAATAACCCTACAAAAAACCCCTTCTCACCCTTCCTATTTTTTCTTGTTACCATTAGAGAATATGCCTGAAGTAATCCCTAGAAACAATCAAAAATGGAAGAGGTATTTTTTTGCAAACCCTCCTGTTGGGTGTTACCACAAACATACTTTTTCTTCAATTTCTGTTGCCCTTATTTCTGTATTCTAGATCTCGCTGTATCACAAAAAAAAAAAAAAAAGAAAGCAAAATGTGTAGCCTCACAATAAATGAGGTGAACTGCAGAAGCCTCCTGTTCAGGGAAGGAAATCGCTTCCAGTTAAACAAAGAAATTTAGGGTCTTCTTCTTTTCATGAAAATACCATACATATGGCCTTTGAAATTTGTCACTGAAGAGTGTTTAGTTCTACAGGAAAATTCAGCACTTTATAGCATTTCAGCTGCAAGACTCATGCTTTTTTTTTTTTTTTTTTCTCTCTCCTTTTTTTTGGCCTGCAGCCCAATGTGAATGTATGATCACTAGCACAATAGTTAAACATCTGAGTCGTTTTGAAGTGCCTTCAACATTGCAGTGATGTGATAGGTTTTTTTTCCTTTCCCTTCAACTAGGCAATTTATGGAAGAAAATCCAGTCTCCCCCCTAGTGGTGGCAAGGAAAATCCAGCAGGAGCTGCCTGATCGATCCCTCAAAAGCTGCTGTACTGTAAGTGCAGTGCCTGGAGGTACCTGTTTCTGCAACCATTCCTGGTCATTACAAAGGGTTGGAAGATTTGTGGTACCTTTTTTTTAAACGCATGAATAAGTTAATTCAATAAATTTCACAGGAAGACATAGGTAAAAATAATAATAAAAAAAGAACCAAATAAAAGTAATACACTATGTGAATAAATGAGATAAAATAACCCATAAACTAAGAAAGAAAGCAAAATATCAATAAAAGGGAAAAAGGCTCAAGCCACCATGCACAGACCAGGCTGTGATGAAACCCTCAGCTCCCACACAGAAAATGGTTTCTGACTGTAGCCATTCACGTGTGGATTTTCAGATGGTAAAGGGCTCAGGGGTGCAAGAAGCCATCCTGCATGTCAGTGTAGTCCATGCATATTTCTGCTGCAAATGGATGATGGGCAGCGTGTTTCCTTAGGACTGCATCACCTCTGGAATGAGACAAAGATCAGATGCATTTCAGGCAGTAAATGACAGAACCACCCTGAAAACACAAACCACCCAGAAGCTGAGGAGCAAACCTTTGGCAGAATGAGTCAGGCAAAGGGCTCTCACAAAGGCACCTGGCTTTTGGGTGGGTGTCTTGACCCCTGGCAACTCCCTCACTTCGACTCTCATCTCTCCTTCCCTGTTTGCTCATTAAAAACCTCTAAAAGCCACATGATCCTTCCCAGCCCAGAACAGGAAAACGCTGGAATTGCTAACATTTTCATGGGCTGAGAAAGATATTTCCCATTGAACTCCACCCAGATGTGCAGCCCTTTGCTCTGCAGGGCTGACTAAGGCTTAGTGAAGCCACAAGGAAGAATCCCACAGGTGGTAAAGGGCTTTGCCCTCCCCAAAATGTGGCACCACTTTTGTTTATCATTGGCTGCATCCTTTAACAATTCTCTTTGTGAGAGGCGTGACCTATACCCCAGGGGGCAGGACGGAAGAGCCAGTCATTCCTCAAGCAGCAGGACCTAATGAAGCCTTGCCTCGGGGACATTCCTCAGCCCTGATTCTCTGGTGTCTAATAGAGGTTGTGCTCTCAACCATCTCCTCCACTAGCAGGACTTCTTTCCTCTGCCTGGTGGTTTATCCTGTCAATGGTTGTGGCAATGGACTAGCTTGGAGGCCACTGCTACCCCCTGCCAGATACAACTGAAAGCAGACAGAAGTTTCAGAAATTATTGGAGAGCTTTAAGATAGAAGAACAACACTGAAAACACCAAAAATATTATGACCCCAGAGATGCTTTTTCCTAGGAAGTGAGGCTCAGGAAAGCAGAAGAAAGATTTTCATCCGAAGCTGTGGTCTGAATTTTTAATTCTGTTGCTGTTGTTCTAGCCTTTCAATACCTAGAAAAGCTGGTGGAAGGATGCATCTATGTACCAAACCCTGTGGTCTTCAGCTGCTGGGTGAAACGTCCCTGTTCTTTTACACTGGGAAAAAGGGATCACATCTTCTGTCCTTGGTGAGCCAAATTGAGAGGGCAAAGCTGCCCCTGACTGTCCTCGTGCTGCAGGAGATGGAGCAGATGGAAAAGAGCCTCCTTCAGCTCTTAGGATAACACCAAACTTTGTTGCTTTGTGAAGTGCAATCCTGCTGCTACCAGCTGGACTGTGCTACCGTGCTGCTCCGCTGTCCAGATTGAAAACATGCTCGCAGGAAAGGCTGCAGTAAACACGAGGCCATATGCAGAGTGTCAGCTTGTTCCTCTGTCGTTGTGGTTCTGATATTTGGAGGCAACTGGAGCTGAGTTGGAGCCCTACGAAATCCACCTGCCTCCGTGCCATAAGATGTGAGGAGAAATGTGAAGTTTTCCTTCTGCTCAGCTTTGATACCCAATGTTTGCATTTGATAATGAAGTATATGCATTTGTCTAAGTCCTGCTGGTGTGGCATGGAAGACTTGATGGAGTCATTTTTCCTCAGGAATTTCTGCCTGGATTCAAGGCTCACTGGGTGCCATCAACACTACATGAAACTTTCAGCTTCCCTTATTTTTTTATATACATAAAAAACCTATTCCATATATATCTATACACACACACATTACAGTCCAGACCCAAAGGTAGGCCAGCAATAAATACAACTATATTTTTAAAAAAACATATTTTATATGCATATGTATAAATATATATACACACACATATACATATATATACTTCAGATCAAAAAGGTATGAGCTAGTAATAAATACTGCTATATTTTTCAAAGAAGGTATATTAAATTGATTTGATTACAATAGAGCTGACACATACTGTGCAAAAAAAACAAGCACTGGGAAAATTCATTTACTGGCTATTATAAATGAATTTCCCCGCCTGTTGTTCTTTTTGTGCAGTATGTGTCAGCTCTATGGTAATCAAATCAATTTAAAATACCATCTTTAAAAAACATATAGCGTACATAAGACTTATGTTCTCCATAAGACAAGAGAAATACCCCAGCCTTAATCAGAGTTCTTCCTTCTTTGTCCAGCTGTCTTTCAACTGCTCTGTCTCACAAAACTACCTGACAGGTTTCAAGGTTGGGATGGACTCTCATAATGCTGGCATTAGAGCCAAAGGGGAGGTGTGGGCTTTTTCACCATATTGCATTCCAGAGGTGTTTTCTCCCATAGGTGCTTCATGTGACATTACATTTGCCACCTCACAGGGCTCGACACAGGGGATGGAGCTAAAATGACACCAGCAAGTTCAGCCACAGCCTGACAGGCAGCAGCCTGGAGAGCAATGGATCCCTACAAAGCCTTGATTCATGCTCCCTGCTAGTGAAGGCAGATAAAGCAACTTCTGGCCCACAATATTAAGTGGTCTGCAGCTCATATTGTTCCCTTTCCCACAGGTCTGTGTTAGTTATTCAGAGGAGCTCACGGGTGACTGTGGAATCTGCACAATAATTTCCTCCCACGTCTCCCGCAGGGTGGTGCAAAGTAGGGTTAATATTTCAGTAACCCTCCTTGGACTGCAGTTGAATATACAGCATATTAATCCTAGATGTTATCACTTCTTCCTCCTCGTTAATCTCTTATCTTCTTCCTTTCTTTTTTCTGGTCTTTGTCTTTTCAGAAGATTTTATAGTTTGTTTGAGGCTTTTAAGTCTGCTTAGTATGTCATGAGTCATCCAAAGGAGTGTTTCTAGCAATACATTTCACATGTTAAATATAACCAGAAGGGATTATCTGGTGATTAAAGAATAAAAAGTCTGGCTCCTTTTCTTAGCACTATCATTAGACTAATTGTCTGTGATCTCAGGCAGGTCATTTCACCTCCCTGCTTTAGTTTTTCCTCCTTTAAAATGGCAACAAACCCATATACAGCAGTTTTGTCATATTTAATCTGTTCAGGTTTAGCTTTTCAAGACAGAAGCCTTGGGTTTATTTGGGGTTTTTTTTTTCAGTCTTCTGAGAGACATTTAATGTAGTTATGGGAAAGTAGGGAGGGGTTTTTTACTTTTTGTTTGTTTTGTTTAGTTGGTTGGTATTATGAGAATCCAGCCTGGAATCAGTTACAGAAAGGAGCAAATGAGATGAATACACCCATCCTGCAGTCCACCAGTTCCACAAATAGCCTAACAAAATCCAAAACTAACTACCAAGATTCTTCAAATGCCCATTTCTACCAAACAGAAATGCAAAGGGCAAATGTCTTTACTTCTCGCCATGAGGTTTCAGTATAGCTTATGTGTTACCATGTAATGAAAGAATTCCTGAAAATAATGCCTCAGAATAGCCACTCATATTCCCATGGCATGGATAATCAAGATAATACTGTGGCAAGAGATGATTAACCACTGTAAATCTTTTTGGCAACCTTTTCTCAGCAACCCCTTTCTGATATATATGTTTGGTGAAAAATGACACCATGGGCAGTCCTCCTGTCCATCTAATCAATTAGATCAGGAGAGAGGCGTTTTTATTTACTCTGTTACCCATTGTTTCATGGCTGGAATCTGATGCCAGAGTTTTCATGGTTTAAAAACACCCGTCTTATAACTTCCTGCATGTCAGCCATATTCCCAGTTTTTTTTCCCCTCTATGCATTGTTCTCTAGGTAGACAGCATTCCCTTTGCCTACATCCTTCACCTGATTAACTACCTCCATCTGCTGCAGATCCCTGTTATTAGCCATGTGTCTTTCCCTTCTTTTTTTCACCCTTTGGGCAGACGATTTCCGATTTCCATGTATAGGACAACATATGTTCCTTAGCTTTGCTACCTCTTGTCAGCCATGGTCACTGCCAAGAATGCCTGATGTGCCCTTCTCCAACTTCTTCATTGCTTATTCAGCCTAGAGAGATACTGTGCCAGAGCTGGATATAAGACTGTTAACATGTGTTTACAGGGCCATTAAAGAGCCATTCCACACTGTTATAAACCCCCAGTGTATTTGACCTGGAAAAAGTGACTGCCATGCATTTAGCTGTTTCCAGCTGAATGAAGCTTTATCTCAATGACCAAGAAAACAAAGAGGGGACGGGAGAAATGGGGAGTGAGGAAGGGAAGAGGAGCACACACACATGCACACAGGCACTCACCCCTCTATTTGTACCGTTTAACTGCAGAGGAAGAAATGCAGAAAACACCTCTCAAGTCAGGAGAATACTCCAGCCAGCCAGGGTGTTATAAATTAGAGCCTGTCAGTATTACAATGTATATTAATAGTCACACCTCTTTTTAATGAGTTTGGCATTGGCAGCTGAGAGGAAATACAAGTCATCATGGCTCTGCTCATGCACACCCCGACAAAGGAATCCGTAATAAATCTTCCTAGAACAGCACTCACCATAAATATGTATCACATAAGGCATCTGTTTTACATTCTGCATATAAATCAGCATAGCGCTGAATAGCAATGAATCAGCTTCTCAATGCCTGATTTGATAACAAATCGACTTGGATCTTAGGAGAGAGAATTTACAGCCCTCACCCTGAAGACAGATAGTCAATACTTAAGACGAGTGCCAAGTTAACTTCTCTTCAGCAAGCAAGTTTACACAATGAGATGCTTTGGCGTTGGTGGGGGAGGGGAAGGGTGTGAGCAAGGGGGTGGGAGCAAGATATTTTTGAAGGTTTTTTAATTAGTGCTTGAAGGACACTGCAGGCTCCGTGTCTGTGCTTCAGCCACTGCTTTGTTCCATGCTCTGCCCTCCAAGTCCTGCAGGTACCACTTCCAGAGAGCTCTGCTTCACGAGGCTGAGCTCCTCGGAGTTCAGCAGCGACCCTGGGATGGAAAATCCAGAGGACAGGAAGAGACATCCCTCACCTGCCTGCTGTTGCCTGGCAGGGCTCTCCAGAGCTGCGGAGGAAGCGAGGATCTGACCCCTTTCCTTAGAGTCATTGATGATAACTTCCTGGAAAGGCCTTTTATTCCAGGTCTGCAAACCAGCTATGAGTATTTATGGCGCATTTCCAGTATCGCTTCGCTGATGGGATCAGGTCACAGGGGGAGAAAAGGAATAACTGAGGGTTTTTATTTTTTCCTTTTCAAAGCAACGGCTTGTATGGAAATGTCCCCAGTCACAGGAATAAACATTTCACGATCCTATTCGTAGTAAGCTGCAATGTCTGCAGTCAGCTGAAGAGGACTTTAAGTCAGCTCCACTCTTTTTCAAAGCTGGCTGAAATTCCTCAACAGAAATATTTTCTCAGCAAAATGTAGGTTTTCCAGGAAAGAAAAAAAATCAACCTTCTTACATTTTTTATGGGAAAATGTCAAAACTGGATGAAAATTTCTAATTTTCTGATGGGAAAATTCAAAAGGAAATGTTTTATTTTCAACTGACATTTTGACATTTCTACTTTTGGAAGTGTTGAAAAATCTCTAAAATGTCGACATTTTGAAATGTCCGAAATGTCGACATTTTGAAAAGAAGCATTATGTTTTCTTATTTGACATTTCCAGGCAAAGAGTTTAGTTTTGATTGAAAATGTCAAAAACATTCGTATCCTGGCTAGATTTTCTTCCTCAAAGACTTTTTTTTCCTTCATATTTCAACTTTTCATCCCATTTTAGTATAAAAACAAACATCCTGACTTCCCATTGAATTGAGATTTCATTTTTCAAACAAATGGTCATATGTACTCTGTAATCAGCTCTCTGCTGGCAGGATTGCTTAGCTACAAGGCTGGCCTATCTTTTGGGGATTTTTTTTGAGGGCAGTGGGTGAGGGGGAATGAGCCTGCATTAGATGCATTTCACTTGTCTTCTCTGTACAATTATATTTCATTACATTATGCTTCCTACACGATTATTGAGCTCAACAAGCAATCATTTGTCTGATTGCCTAGAGAAATCATGGAAAATAAGGTGGGGAAGGACCTCCAGAGGTCATCTTGCATATCCCTCTGCCTAAAGAACAATCAAGTGCATTTATATAATTCCTTACACATTCTTGTCCAATCCATTCTTAAAGACCTCCATCAATGGAGACTCCACTATCTCTCCAGGAAATTTATTCTGTTTCTTTACTGTTCTTACTCTAAGAATTCCTTTCGGGTGTAAATTCAATCTACAACACTACACCATGGTATCATCCTCCCATGTTCTTTTGTCTTTAGAGCTGTCTTGTATGTGTTTGAAGACACTTTCTCCAGAAAAGGGCTTCTTCCATTGCTTCTTATAAGCTTTTCTTGCTTTTCACCCAACATTATTTATTTCTTCTCATGGCACAACCATATGTATTTATTAAAGTAGGTGGGTTTTTTTCTATCCTTGGGTCAGAGTACGTAGAACCATTTGATTTCAGAATCAGATTACTGCATCAAATGAGCTATTAGTCTCATCCAGACCTTCCACTAGTTGACAGCATTCAGTGGTGATTAGTCCTATCTGGCTGGTAACAGCAGGATGCTACTCAGGCCTGAGTAGGAACAGAAAATGCTCAGAAGTGTAAATCACACATTGGGACACTCTGGATGTGTGACCTGGAGTGTCCCTTTGACCTCTATGTATGCGACTGGCAAGATCATAAACTGGAGTTTATGTACATTTGAGCACAACAGAGTTGTCCACGGAACAGGGACAACCCAGTAACGAGGAGCAGTAGAGGAAGAGTGCATGTAGGACAGCCTCCACCGCACAGCAGCCTCTCCACATGTGCAAAATCACATGTACTATAACAGCTGTATCTGAGCTTTGCTGGGGCTGGGACCTGCAATCCTGCAGGAAGAGCTGCAAACATGAAGTGAAGGACCAGAGCCCCTCCCTGACCTGCCCAGCCATGGCCCAGCAGGTGCTGGAAGGGCGATGATCTCCCAGGTGTGTACTGAGCTAGCACAGCTGTGCTGCTCTGTGGATTAGAGCCTGCTTGGACTTTTCTCCTCATTACTGTGATTCCTGGCTGTATCCCTTCTGTCCCTGTGACCCAGCACAGGAGGAGTGTATAAACCACTTGGACAGCAGCTGCCCTACCATGGAGCATGCAGCTACCTGAATATCTGAAGGCACCACTGAGACTGTAAAATATATATGGGAAAAGCAGGAAGAAGATTGCACAGAGATCCAAGGCAGAGTTTCTTAATATATCACTATTATTGTCTGCCAAAACTGGGGCATCTCTGTTCAAGCCCAGAGATATCGCTTGTTCCCTCTCAAAGAAAAAAACTTAAAAAAAAAAAATTACGAGAATTGCAGTAGACAAATGGAACACCAAACTTTAAAACAGAGTAAAAAAAAAATTCTCAACAACAATAATAATAATAATGGTCAATCATAAACTGATATAGTGCCGGCTTTCCCTCCCTTTTCGCCACCTTACAGGATATCCCGTCTAGCAGCAGGAACAAAACGTGGAAATGAATCAGTCAACAGAGCATTTTCTCCCATTAAAGCTGTTGGCAATTTTGACCCGTGCAGGGGAAGTTGCACATTAAGATGGATATTCCTAATCTGTAGGGACAACTGTCCTCACTGTGGGATGTAGCCTTTTTTTTTTCCTCTCTCTTTTTTTTTCCTTTTTTTTTTTTGCCAAAGGATGTCATAGGTGAATGCATTTCTGCTGTGCACAGTGCGAACACACACACAGCAGAAAGGCCTGAAAATTGTTAACCCCTTCTTATTTTAGCTGGATATGCTCTTTTCATTTCTCTCTTCCCCTCTTTTTTTTTTTCATTCAGCATGCAAGAATCTGCCACTTCTCTGGCATACTACTATTTACTTTAATAATGCACAGTAAAGCTATTATTTTCCAGCCATGGGAAACTTTGGCTTTTATTTTCTCTTATAATCCCATTGCTGATAACCAGTGACAGCAGAAGAATATTAAGGTGCTGGAAGAGATTCGCTTTCCTTTTTAACATTCACAGGTCTTCTACATTTTCAAGGTGGGAGAAAGTGAATTTTGTGCCCAAAAAAGGACCAGGAGTCAGAATGGAAGTTTTCCTTTCCTGATTCAGTAGTGACTGGAAATACAGATAGTTCATCATTCACATTTCTTTATATCACCCCATAAGTGCTATCTAGTAAAATGGTCATGTTGTATCATCCAAACACCCAAGAGAAAAAAAAAGAAGACAAAAACACGATCCCTGTTTGTGCATAAAAACAGTTTTGTTGTCTGGGGACTAAAACAATGAGAAATTCACTGGTTTCCCTATGGTCACATGTGATCTGTGGAAGAGCAAGGTCCTGAGACCAGCACTGCCTGGTATCCCACTTACATTTTATACCCTGGTTGATTTTTCATTACAGCAGTAGTTACCTCCTAATCTAATGACAGTTACTCCACTCACCAGGGGCGTGTAAAGACCAATTCATTCCAGATTGGAAAGTTCTTTGAGAAACCCTGAATGGAAGGTGCTATAGAAGTGCAATGTGTTATTAATAATCTCTCCTATCTGCATAAATCTCCATTGAATCCTCCCGGTATCATTAAAAGTAAAATAATCCCTCAGCACAGCTGAAGAGCTCAAACCCTCTTTTCCCTTTGTAGGTGTCTGGCTGTTTGCTAAATGAAAAAAAAAAAAAAGGCCACACAAAACGCTGACATCTTTTTGTGACCCTTGTAGAGCTACGTAGAGCTAATGAGTTTGTTTTCACTTTTGTAGATGAAATTTCCAGGGCGGAGGGAATCCGGGGTGGTGCTGGGAAACCGCGGAGCGGCTCCCCGGGAACTTGGCTGAGACCACCATACTTGTTTCATGTGTGGCCTCCCTTTTTGCCTCATTGGACCAGAATTATTTAATGAGCCCTCTGAGAAACCCAGCTCTGGTCCCTTAAGATGGAAAAGGATCGTGTGGAGCTCCGCTACCAAGCCACACAATTTTCAGGCTCCCTTCTTTGCAAGAGGCTGCAACAGCTCCTTCCCTTTCTGCAGCTGATGGTGAAAGTGGGGAGAAAGAGAACAATAACAAAACAAAATTGCTTCCCACAGCTGAGAAAATCACCCTCCCTTTATTATTTTTTTCCCCCTTTAGGAAAGAAATAAATAAAAGGGAAAGAACCCAAATGGGATCTCTCCCTCTTCAAACATACAAATGATCTTATGTTAGCAGTTGGGATTAAACATCTGTCTGGTGGTTATGTGATCATAACAGATGCTGTGTGCAAACGTTTCCTGCTAGCTTTGTTTTGGTTAATATTGTTTGTGTAGCACATTGGGTTATATTCAGCTGAAGGGATACAGAGTCTGTTTTTCTTCCCCCCCCCAAACTTCTGCTGAACTTCAAGCAGCTTCATCATCTTTTTAAAAAGAAATTGGAGGCGGGGGTGGAGGGGAAGAGGGTCATTGACTGATGTCATGTGGAAAGTGATGTCACACAGCACTGATGAAATGGCAATCCACCCGGGTTTTGAGCCGCTTTGATGTTATGTTAGGCCTTTTTCCTCTCTGTTAGGTTGCCCTTGGGTCCACTTGGCCATGCAGCTGGAAATAAATACAAGGATATTGTAATGAGTTTTGCTGTGCAACTGGAGGACCCCGGAGCTCAGCTGCTCGGGATTTCCATTGTTCTTTCTGAGAAGCTGTGTTTCCAAATGGAGCCACATGGATGCTGACACTGCAGTCCTTGAAGGCATTAAGGCTCCAGGGTGTTTTTATACTCTGTTTACATCTGGGGAAACTGAGGCACTGAGTGTTGTCCTGGGCAGTGAGAACATCTGCAGCAGGACAAGCTTTTCATCCCTTGTCTTAACCTCTGTTCCACTAAGTCTTACAGGTAGGTGTGAGGCTGCCCCGCTTGTTTCTTCCTGGCTGAGGAACAGACGCTGTCTTTACACACTTTTGCCTTATTACTTTCCTACAGTGGCATCCAGCTGAGCAATCCTCCTCTCTGCAAAGTTCTCTCAGACATTTTGACCACAGTTGTGGCTCAGCACAAAGATCCTCCTACTGCAAAGCAATGCTCCTCACTGCCCAGGTGCCACACACACCAGCACCCACCCTCAGCCTATAAAAAAAGGAGTCTCAAGAGGTCTTTATGCCTGAGCCAAAAAGGATAGCTATTAATTTGTGTCATTGGGAATAAATGTCCCTTTTCCCCCCATAATCATAACCTTGCAAAGCCCTACTGAAACAGTCAGTCCGAGTAGGAAAATTCAGTAGTGAAGGACAGAGATTGTGGGATCTCTAGCTGATGTGTGAGGGGAAAGAACCCAGATTGCAGGAACTACTTCATCCTGCAAGAGGATGGTGGCAGGTAGAGCAGATGAGTGGATATTCCAACCTGCTCAGCCTGGCATCTATTCCTTGCGCTCTGTTCTTTTCCCAACTGTTTCATTTTATTGTCTCTAAATGTCCGGTTGTGGTTCTTTCTGTGTTAACATTTGCCAATCATTTCTAGCCAAGAAAAAATAGAGATTAAAATGATTCATGTTAAATAGCTTCTGGGCAGCCTTTTGCAACAGTGAGGAACTTGGGGTCTTTTCACTATAATTACTTTGAAATGTGACTTCCTTTTCCTGGAAAGGAGGGCTGGTCCAGTGAATGAAATACCCAGCTGGAGGCTGTAAAAGTTTTTGTTCAGTGACTGTTTCAACCACAAACCATTCCATATAAAAACAAGAAATTTATTTAATTCCCTTGTGCCTCAGTTTCCCCAGCCCTAATTGTTCATTATTGACTTTTTAATAAATAGTTTTGATGAAACAACAGTCCTTGGTGGAAATTGTTCATTTAAACATCCTTCTTTCACCTCTTTGGAGCACTCATGCAATGCTACTATACTTCATGTGTTTTTAGAAGTGATTTAATTAATCTCAACAAGTTATTCAAACATGGTGGTGACTGGGATCACATGAGGGTAAGTAGCTCAATTTCAATGAAGTTGGTGTCTTCCTAAAGATATTAGAACTAGTTTTGTTCATGGGGAAGGCATGAAGCAGCCTTCCATGGACTAAATTTAGTAGTGCAAAGATTTTCAGACAAGAGGGGACAAAGAATCCCATGGACACCTTTTAATACTAAATAAGAGGATAAACTGTATGAATGCTACATTTATGAGCTCCAGCTTATCTCATGTGTGATGGGAGTCAGTTGGAAATTAAAATTCATCCAACTGACTGTGACCACACACATAGTCCATTGGAAAGGAAAAACATGTTTGTGCAATTGTGTTTCCATCTCCAAAACAGCCCTAGCCTTGTTGGGCGGCCAAGGTCAAGAGTATCCACAGGCGTCTCCTCCTGGTCAGTGGGGAAGGAGATGGGGGCTCTCAGGGATCTCCCACATTGCTAAATTTCCCTCCCACTTCCAGCACTTTGTAACTGAAATAAGGAGGCAGAGGACTGGGGCTGGGCTGTGTTTTTACGGGCATTGGAGACTGTGTTGGGGAGAAGCAGAGAAAACGCTTCAGCAGAGCAGCGTGGGGGGGAAATTGCCCCTCCAGGAATCAGGACTGTGGCTCTGTGACCAACCAGTGACCCCCTGGATCCAGAGCAGTGCCTGGCCAGTGTTAAATGTACTGAGAAATGGCTTTAGCTAAGTCACCTGCAACAACATACTGGCCAGGATACCCTCACAACTGGCTATTTATCGTGTCACCAAGCATATAAAATTATTCCACATGTTGGCATCCACTAATTCAATAATCTAGTAATATAAATTTAGATAATAGACATTAATACCACATTTCAAAATACACCCACAACATTTATTTCTCTCTCTCAAGAAAGAAAAAAAAAAAGAAGCACACATTGAGAGGGCTCTCCTGATGAAATAATAAAACCCATTCTCATCTAGAAAAAAGAATCATTATAGGAGGATGGTAATTTACTTTATATGACCTTCAATTGATTATTCTGGGCCTGCTACACAAATATCACAGGAGCTATTGATCGTAAAACCTACCAAATAGATCTCTAATAGCTTTTACTGAGGAAAAATAATTATGCCAGCGCTGTGGTCAAACACACATAAACCAATGTGGAGGTATTAATGTATAGTATTATTACCCATCTGTCTGAGAAGTATGGGGAAGATGCTTCGCAGTAACATGCTCTGTCTAAGCACCATGAAGGCTCAATATCTGGCCAACAATTACAGCCAGTTATACTGAAAAATTGATTACTGTAAGTAAAAGCTAAGACTGGAAAGCAGAGGCTGGAGCTTGCTTAATAAAAGTAGAATAATAACAACCATCATCCTAATTGTGGAGGAGTTCTGCCATCGTATATGCTCGGAGCTGGAAATTGAATTCTCCTCTGGTGCCTGCGGCGGGGCAGCATTTCAGAAGCAAAGGTGTCCACCTTGGCTGGCCTCGAGACAGGGGAATCAATGCCTGTGAAAGGCCAGACTGTCTCAGTCAGGAACAGAATGCTGTGAAGGGAAAAGAGCACAAAGAGCCAGAAACTCACCACCCCTGCCCCCAAACCCCACCCCAGGAGATGCACCTTTGGGGAAGTTTGGTGGTCTGGTGGGAAGGGGTGTTGGGGGTGGGTGCAGATTGTGATGAGCCTTGTTGCTGCTGTTACTTCTAAAGGAATTGATTCCCTCGTGGGAATCTGGCAGCAGTTTTGCAACTGATTTCATTGGCAGAAGGATCAAAACCTAAATGCTGTCTCCGTGCCATGATGAAAACTTTAGATTTTCTCTCTCTCTCTCTTTCACCATATGCATAGATTTTAAGGCATGTCAACTTAAAAATTAGATTGATTTTATATAAATCATATTAAAATGTAAGTAAAGTTATTGTAACTCAAGTGAATTAGGAGGAAAAGTGTATTTTGCTCTATTTTTTGAAGTTTTGTTCCCTTGAGTTTTGGATCACCTGGTCTGTTCTTTCTGTTAAGCAACTTAATTCCACTTTCCCCTACTTCTCTGAGACTCATTCCTCAGCATAGGGAAGCTAAAGGAAAAAACCTACAAAACCACCACTGAACCTTTTTTTTTCTTAATAGGGAATTAAAATGCAAATTTTTGAATAAGGCTTTATGATTTGGTGTTTTATATACACTGCTTTTAATGTATTAAAAATTACCCAGTGTCAAACTGGCAACATCCCTTAGAAATTACTATTAAATAATATTATAGTACTCTGAGGTAAAGCCTGAAAGACAATTTATAATCAGACCACTAAAGCAATTGATCAAATATTTATTTATCTGGAAAACAAGTGATAATTAGTAGAAGGCTAGCATTTCTGTACACTGCCCCCTTTTTTTAATAAAGAAATGCCTGTGCAATCAAAAATGTGGAGTGCAGGGATGCTAAACTCAAGGGATCCATACTAAAGAAGAAAAAAAATGCTAATTGAAAGAAGTGCTGAGAGAGTCAGAGGAATGCTCCTCATTCCCAATTTTGTCTGAAAAGCAGACAGATTGCACAGTATCATCCTCCAAGCAAGGCTCTGAGACTGAGCTGGGGACCAGAGTTCAGCAGTGCCTCATCCCGCGCCAGCAGTGACATCACAAAGGCAGAGCCAAGGCTCGCGAGGGCTCTCCCAGCCCTTCAGAAACAATATGGTTCAAATGTTAATTTCTCTTCCTTTTGGTTTGTACCAGTTTGTGCTGTTAACAAAGTAACACTCAAAGGCTGGAGTCACTACTATCTTTGTGAATGATTTATGATTTGCACTCTAGAGATAAGCAATTTCCATGCCAAAAAAGGGATTTTTTTTTTCCTCCTTTTTTTTTTTTTTTTTTTTTTTTTTTTTTCCTTAGAAGCAGACTGTCAGTGCTATGGGGCAGGGGGGAAGAAAATCCTTAGCAAGATCTCTGTAGCTTGTTGATGCTGTTTCCCTTCTGCATTTGCCAGGGAGCAGGTGACGGAGGGTTGATGAGCCCAGCTCTCTGGATTTACATCAGTAATGATTTTGGGCCAGAGTGGATGTATATCCCAGTCCTGGAGAGCAGTGCCTAGACCTCCTTTGACCTTGAAACTGCTATTGATTTAAAATCAATAGGATAGCTTAGGTAAGCTGGTGCTCAACAAAAGGAGTAGGTCCTCTGCAGGGACACAAATGTCATCATTTCATGCAGACAAGGAATCATTCCATCTTTTCCCCATCTCCCCCTCCTCAAAAGCCTGTTTTTGTCAAGTTTTCTGTACACTGCCCAATTTCTGCCTAAGAGATCAGCCATTTCTTGGGTATGATTAGAGATAAGGAATACAGTCAGCTGCCTTTCCTGGAAAGGAAGGTGCAGAACAATGTGGTTTATCTGTACTTAAGACATGCTTTTCTCCTATCTCCAAGATGTTTTCTTGGTTTTGGACTATTTTTGTCCCAAAACATACAACAGCAGTTGAGCTAGAAATCTTTGTTGCACTTCAAGATCGTCTATATTCTTTCTCCAAGAGACTTGGACAGGTTTTTAAAATATTAAATTATTCAGTATATGAATATTAAAGGTATGTATATTTCAAGTTTCGTTGAAAACTAATTACAGTCAACTGACATCATATATCATAGTCACTGACTTTTTCTGCTTCAAAATGCCATGAACAATTGCAATATACCTTGTAACAAATACATCTTTGGTATCATAATTAATTTTTTTAAAAGGAAGCCATTTGCAATTTGCATATGAAAAAAACGGCACGTTTTGCCATTGTATTAATTAAAACCAACTAAGAATGTTCAAAACTTTAATTTGCTCCAAACACAACTATGTCCTGTCTTGGCACATCCTAATTTGCATAACTTTTAATGACAAAATCACAGATGCTCTTAGCACAATGCAGCTGAAGGGCAATCCTCACCAGGAGCTAGAAATAGCGACTTAAAAAAAAAAAAAAAAAAGAATACCTGTCATCTTTAGAAATAAAAAAAGAAAAAAAAGAGAGTCTTCAATAAAGAAGCCTGACCAAGAAGTTACACTTCTGGAGAATTAATATTCCAGATATCATTAACAATTGACTTTTACTGCTTTTATTGAGCTATTTTCAATGGTCCCTATAATTTACAAAGAGGAACAAGACACCTTTGGTAACAAATTTATGGTCTTAACTCTGAGCTCAGTGTGTCCATGGGTGTCTTTCCACTGACTTCCCTGTCTCCCTGAGCACAGGTGTGGCTGCTCCAGGGAAAAACACCTTGTCAGGGATGGTGTTCTCCTACACGTGGGCTAGATGGACAGACACTAAAAGCAAATGGCAGCAGTTAAGTGAGACAGGAATTTAAGTCCAGAGATTGAGAAAAAGGGATGATATAAATATGAAAGTGCAGCAGAGATGACAGGGAAGAAGGCAGGTATTAGGTAAGGCAAGAAAAGGAGGGAGACAGAGGTGGTGAGTGTTTTAATGGCCATGTGGCTATGGCAGGCAGGAAGGTCCTTGGATAAAGGCTCTCACATAGCTGCCAGTCACACCATTTTAGCTGTTAGGTACAATTAACCAGGTCAGTCCTTGGTAATTATTTTGTCACAAAAAACTCTCGCTGGCTCTCAGATGGTTTTGGTTTACAAAAGGGAACGCATGCCGACCAAGGCAAATTCAATTCTCAAACGGAAAACTATCACAAAACCACCTAGATTTTCTACAATAGGGGCTGGATTTCAGCTCTCTGGATTTCCACCCTCCCACCTCCGAAACAACAACAGAGAGAGATAAACCTCGACCTCCCAAACCCACAAAAGCAATACGTGTCCGTTCGTGACTTTAATATGTTTAGCTGATTGCAAGGACACCGTTAAAGGCGTTATTCTTACTCAGCAATGAGAAGGGGAGAGGAAGAG